AAAAGACTTTTATAACCAAAGGAACCATGAGTACTTACTAAGATACCCGTTGAGGTACAAAGTGTGTATCCATCGAGGTACAAGCGGGGGAAGGTTACCGACAAGCCCGGCACTTCTTCACTGAACTCTCCCTCACATCTCTCCCTACTTATTTTGCTAGATCTAGCTTGATGAGGACATCGCCATGCTGGACACACCGACGCCATGGTCTTCCCAAAGTTGTAATTCGTTCCCAACTCAGCTGCCACGTTGCCCTCGGATTCAGCAGACACGTCGTCACTGTTTCGGTCATAACTTTCTCATACGACATCGAAATGGGCTGTTCTTGGATGCGTTGGAAAGGGGACGACGACGCCGTCGTTTTGGATCTAGTCCCAGCTCCAGAAGGTCCGTGGATCATTCTGTGTGACCACGGCAAGGTGCTGCGTCACCTATTTGGGCCGACTTAGCCATGTATCGTGTCGGGCCTTAAGCCCAAGTTGTGGGCGCCCAACCCCTGGCCGTCCCCAACCCTAGGTCGAGTCTTAGACTATAAACACAGCCGTCGCTGCTGCTACACAATTGGATTTTGTTTAGAGTTTAGTTTTCCATCGAGAAACTGAATCGTTCATTGTAACTGTGGTGACAAATCCTTTTACAGTGATCCAGGGCCCCCGTTCTTGATCTCCTCCACGTGTCGATTAGTCCTTTGGAACCGAGTTCTAGAACCCTCTATTGATATTCGCGTCATTCATATTTGCAATATCGATTATGTGTTTTACCTTCTTGCTTGTGCTCTTCGATTCGCTTGCAGGAAAAGCCTTCTTGACGAGGTCAATCAAGTTGTGCTTGGTTGATAACCAACGGAGCAAAGGTATAACGTTTGCGAGGTTCAATCGCGTCGATTTGAAGCCGGGTCGCCAACGTCGAGATCTCCACAAATCGAACTTACCGGCTACCTCTCGGAAGATCGGGCCTGTACTCATCAATTGGTATCAGAGCTTTCAGGTTTACCGTGAGGTATAATGTCGTTTGCCTTAGATTCGTATTTGTTCATTACCTAGAGTCTACAAAAAGCCCAAAAATATTTCAATTTCCGCTGTCCTATCGCCCTTTGTACCTTTGCAATTTCGTTTCAGCCCATGGAGTGGTGATGCTCTTGCTCTTGCTCTTGCTTTGCTCTTTCTCACTTGTGTGTTGTTGTTCCAAATGAGGAGGAGGGAGCCTCCTTTTATAGGTGGAGAGGAGGGTGTCTTTGGAAAATGCTCATCCCCTCATGGAAGGTACCAAACCGACCTCTAGGTACGTTAAACCTGGGTGTCACCCTGTGAATCGTCATTGGAGAGGCGGTATGAACCGACCTGGCAAGGTTGGGCTCGAGGCAGGCCACCAGGGGTGCGCCCGGTGCGGGCGCACCCTAGGTGGGCCACCTTGAGTCCAATTTTGTTGGGCTGCTTCTTGTGATCTCCTGGACTTGGCCCATGGTGGTGTTGCGCAGAGTTGAGTTGGTTTGGTTAGATTTTGGGCTTATTCTCCATTTGTTCTAGGCCCTGATTTGCTTGGTTGTGGGCCTCCTTATCCTTTGGCTCATGTCAGGTACTTGTATTGTTGTATTTCTTGTATACTTTAGGTATATTTCTTGTGTAATTCCAACATGTCCTTCTGCAAAAGATCAAACACTAAAACTTGTGAAAAGTGTTAGTTCTAAAGCCCTATTTCTAGGTTTGGTGTCTGTATGCTAGGATTTTATGCGAGTGTTGGCGGTTAAAAGTGTGAGTTAAGGACAGCCAACAATAGGCAATTTCTATCAAAATATATTTATGTCTTGAAGTATGAGACGAAAACTTATTTTGGAACGGAGTGAATTCATTATTAAACTAGGTTACAAACATTGGTGTAACATTATGTTGGGATTTGTTTATTTTTAAGCAAATATTTCTGTCAAGTTATGCAAATTTCTATGGTTTTGTTGGTTAATTATGTATCGATTGCCAATTTCTCACGCTATCCGTCGGCCATCGTAAGTTTGATGCCTTTGATGAACATAATTCTGAATTTTTAAGGTGCCTAAATAAAATCAGCCAATTTTGCCAGCATGTTAAGATGATTGTGCCAAGAGAGAAGGGAATTGATTACCCCAGTAAAGACTAGCTAACATATGCCGACAGTAATCGACTCATGCTTAAATATCAAATTTTCTAGCATTAGCAATGCCTTAATAATTGTCAAATTTAATTGGATCAAGGAAATCAATCCACAAGAGCAATGGAATTATTTTGGCAACATGGACCGATCAGTTCTGAGAAATTTTGGCAACCAGGTATTTCGTGTTTTTTTTTCTGTTTGGCTTCGGTTCTAACCAAACTAGCCAAACCTTTTTAGGTGCAGTTAAGGCCACAAAAAATGTGTAGATTCTAAAGCAAATTTGAGCAACACTTCCTTTATTTTAGATAATAATAATTGATAAGGGAACTATAACAATATAATAACACAAATACACAACAATTTAAATGTGAGACATCAGACATAAACGGAACATAATATTACAAAATGCAAATAAGTGAAGTACAATTCGTGTATTTCAGTTCTTTCAGTTAATTCAGTTAACCAAGAATATGAGCCTAAATAACCAAAGAAAGTTTGGTTCCTTCTTGTCTGGAACCAAACATGGAACTGATTTTTTTATTGTAGTTATTTTGGATTTAATTTTGGTTCTTTTGGATCGTTTAGGTTTCGATTAATTATGTCCGGTCCTAAGAGGGGCCTTAGGTCTATGCTAATGGCTTGGTCACAGACTCACTGACATGTCTGTCGCATGATCCCCTCGAGTATCGTGCCCTCGCCTGACCCGAGTCGAACCGACATCGTCTGTGCCGCCACACCGGCATCCCATGGCGCTTGTTCGCTTGGCAAAAGAGTGGGTACCATATGAGATGAAACGTTACATTTTTCTTGTTTGTCTGACAGACGATGCATCGATGACTAGTGGAGCATCGTCTAGTTGTCTACAGTCCACAACTACTCCATTCATTTAAAAACAATACAATTCCCACTTTCCAAAGAATCAAATTGTCAAACGATTTTAAGTTTAACTAAATCTATAAAAAATTACAAAGACTCATGACATTAAATATGTATTGTTAGATTTATTATGAAATATGTTTTCATAATAAAATATTTGAAGATATAAATAAATATTGATTGTAATTTCGGTAAAGTTAGTCAAATTTAAGAAAATATTAACTAGTCCAAAGTTTTGATTTTTTTTGTAGAAAGGGAGTGGTAGCTAGCTAGCCCGCCGCTCCCTTCTCTATCAGGCCACCAGGCTCACGGGGCGCACTCGCAGCGTGACGTGACAAAGGGCAGCAACCCGCAGCGTGGAAAAGGAAACCGCAAGGCCGGCCAGCTCTCGCACATAGTCCTACTAAACCATATCATGTTGGACCTTCTCTTCTCAGAAAGGTGAAGAATAATACGACTTCAATTGAGGACTGAGGTAATCATTTTTTTTCCAACATGATATGGTTGTGCTCTTGCCTTTTATTTCAAAAAAATGATATTAATCGAGACAAACCAAAAATAATTCCACCATTCTAATAAATTATATGTTGTTTGAGTTTTATAAATACATAGTTCTACTAAACAAACAAATTAAAAATACTTTGTCTAGAAAACCGAAAACAACCGACTGGGAGGGGGTACCATAATTAGTTTCATGGGTTGTTCATCCTCTAGACATGTTCTTTTCACTCCGGTGTCAAGCACCCTCCTTTGTTTAAGATGAGACAAAAGTTTTTGAGCGGTTAAGAAAATAAATAAATAAAATGATTAGAAAAAATTTGTTGGAGCTCTGTTTCCCCTTTAATAATTTCAATAAAAATAGAGAAATGTGATTTATATATTTTTATTAACCTGGTGGAGTTTCTTTTCCTCAGTGGTTGAGTTGCAAGCTTGTGCGTGCTGTCGACTCAGGTGGCGTTTAAATTTAGAATGTAAAGTTTAGGGGTGTTACATCGGGGTGTCATATAGGAGTGTTCGGATAGTAATAATAAACAAATTACAGAAGTCCTTAGTAATCCACGAGACGAATTTATTAAGCCTAATTAAACCGTCATTAGCACATGTTTACTGTAGCACCATATTGTCAAATCATGTACTAATTAGTCTTAAAAAAATCGTCTGGCAAATTAGTTGCAATCTGTGCAAGTAGTTATTTTTTAGTCTATATTTAATATTCCATGTATATGTCAAATATCCGATGTGATATGGAGTAAACTTTAAGGAGACTAAACAAGGTCTCACATGGAATGGAAAGGCAGGCCAGCTCACATGTAGGCTCACTCGTGCTGCCAAGGCGCTAGCAAGTACTCCCTGCAACGCTCACTCGTGCGCCTGTAGCAGCAGGCCAGCGGCAGAAGCCTGCAGGACTGCAGGTGCACCGTGCACGCTCGCCGAGTGAGCGGGCCCGGCCTTCTAGCTTGTGCCTCGTGTCGTGTTGAGGCATTCCGCGCGGTACGGCGTGTCTCACTGTCTCCGATGCCCGGCCGTCGTCATCGTCACGTACGTACGCCGCTTGATGCCCGTGGGCTCTAGAGACCAGAGTCTCGGACGGGCGCCATATATACGCAGTGCCGGCACGGCTGTCGCTGCGATCGTTAGCCTAGTTAGTGGCGGTGGTGGTCACTGAGGGGGGCCGGGCCAGCGAGGTCGCTGGTTGCGGGCCTGTTCGCTTGTCTCAGTTACGAAGGAATCTGATGGTTCGGAGGAACGCTGAATGAATTTGTGAGAGAAAAATACTATTTTAGATGAAAAAATAAGCGTATCAAGCTAGGTTTAAGAGTACGCGAACGGTGCCGCGGCGTGTGGCGTGGGCGGTGGTGGTGCTCGTGGCGGTGGCCGCAGTGGCGGTAGTGACGACGGCCAAGGAGTGCACCAACAGCCCGACGGAGCTGTCGTCGTCGCACACGGTGCGGGCGCAGCTCCAGGCGTCGTCGCCGGGCGCCGCCGAGAGGTGGCGCGAGATGTTCCACGACCAGCAGGCCGAGTGGATGGACGACATGCTATTGCCGCCGCCGCCACGTGGAGGTCATAGCGCCGGCGCCGCCACGGCGGCAGGGGATCCCGATCGAGAGGAGTTCGACTGGTGGGTGATGCTCTACCGGCAGCTGGGAGGCGCCCGTGGCGTCGTCGCCGCGCCGTTCCTGGAGGAGGTGCTCCTGCACGACGTGCGCCTCGACCCCGACGGCGACGACGCGGTGTACGGGCGCGCGCAGCGAACGAACCTCGAGTACCTGCTGCTGCTGGACCCTGACCACCTCGTCTGGAGCTTCCGCTCCCAGGCGGGGCTGTCGGCGCCGGGAGAGCCCTACGGCGGCTGGGAGAGCCCCGGCCGCGAGCTCAGGGGCCACTTCGTCGGTACGTGCGTACGCTCCCTCTCTCTCTCCCGCCTCCAGCTGTACATCGGCCCACGCATGCACATGCAGAGTTGCAGACAGTGAACCCGACACAGTGAACCCGAGCGTGCACGCAGGGAACTATCTGAGCGCGACGGCCAAGATGTGGGCGAGCACGCACAACGCCACGTTCGCTGGCAAGATGGCGGCGGTGGTGGACGCGCTTCACGAGTGCCAGCGCGCCGCCGGAACGGGCTACCTCTCCGCCTTCCCCGCCGAGTTCTTCGACCGGTTCGAGGCCATCGAGTTCGTCTGGGCGCCCTACTACACCATCCACAAGGCACGTCGCCGTCGATCAACCCCCGGAGTCCCGGACCACTCTGCAACTTTTTACCTTTGCACAGACACATGCATCGCCGGTCGTGCTGAGCAATACCTCATCTGCATGCTGCGCTTCCTGCAGATCATGCAGGGCCTCCTCGACCAGCACGTGGTGCCCGGCAAACGGCAAGGCGCTGGGGATGGTGGTCGCCATGGCCGACTACTTCGCCGGCCGGGTCAGGAACGTCATCCAGAGGTACAGCATCGAGCGCCACTGGACGTCGCTCAACGACGAGACCGGAGGGATGAACGACGTGCTCTACCAGCTCTACACCATCCCGGTATACAGCCTTTCTTTCTTTGGTGTTCATTTCATTCATTCGTTTCCTGAATCCTGAGTGTGTATGGTAGCTGCTAAATGCTAATAGTGCAGTTCTCTTGAATATTTGCACAGCTCGATCAGAGGCATCTGGTGCTGGCCCATCTTTTCGACAAGCCATGCTTCCTGGGGTTGCTTGCAGTTCAGGTCTGAAACTCTGAACCCCGACGAACTCAGTCCCTCCCCACCTGTCGGCCCTCCGCGTTTTGCTGATGCATTTTTTACTCCAATTTTGCCTAGATCTCATGTACGGAGTACACTAGTACTTAGTTAATAAACGCATCTACATCAGCTAAATTAACAGCACAATAAATTGTTCTCTCTATGATAATTATGGCATGAGGACACATTTCTGAATGTTCGATGATTCTTCCCCATCGTTTTGCCTTTCAGGCTGACAGTCTTTCGGATTTCCACACCAAGACACATATTCCGGTTGTCATAGGCGGGCAGATGAGATATGAAGTTACAGGTGATCCTCTTTACAAGGTAATAATCTAAATACTGCATAAATTTGCGTGGGGGTAAAATTAATTTATTCAGATATGATAATATCCAAATCTAAAAAGAGCGCTATTTTCCTCCTGCTACCCAATAGCTGCCCATAACCTAACTCTTCATTCTTGAACAAGGAAATTGCGACATTCTTCATGGACACGGTGAATTCTTCTCACGCATATGCGACTGGCGGCACATCTGTCAATGAATTCTGGTAATACATCATAGTGGCTCAAGTTCATGGTTTTATTTCTCAAAAAAAAGTTCATGGTTTTATTTATTTCAGACATGACATGTATGAAATTCTGTTTGTAAATGGTTTTTGTCAGGTCCGATCCAAAGCGTTTAGCTGAAGCTCTGAACACTACAGAGACCTAGGAGTCCTGCACGACGTATAACATGCTCAAGGTGGTCCACCTGTTCATCTCCACCAAAACTTCCAGTTTTTCATCTTTTTTTTTCTGAAAACTCTAGTACGCACATTTTTCATGTCTAGAGGCAACAAGTTACAATTTGCGAAACAAAACCTCGCAGGTTTCAGGCCATCTATTCAGATGGACAAAGGAGATCGCGTACGCAGACTACTATGAGCGAGCGCTGATCAACGGCGTGCTGAGCATCCAGCGAGGCAGAAATCCTGGAGTGATGATCTACATGCTGCCCCAGGGCCCTGGGATGTCAAAGGCAGTCAGCATCCATGGCTGGGGAACTCCGAACGGTTCATTCTGGTGTTGCTATGGCACTGGTAACAAAGTGAAAATCCCAAGCTTTCGGACCTGGCAATGGGGACACGTATTGTTCTAGTTTCTGAATCCTGAGTTTTGTGTTTATTACATGGATAGAATCCTTCTCCAAGCTGGGGGATTCCATTTACTTCGAGGAGAAAGGTGAAACACCGGCGCTATATATTGTTCAGTTCATACCGAGCACCTTGGAGGACTGCAGGCCTTACTGTCACTCAGAAACTGATGCCCCTCAGCTCATCGGATCAGTATCTTCAGGTCTCATTCTCCATATCTGCAAAGGTAAGTCTGCATGAGGTGATTAGTGCATGGTACTGTATATGACTGGAAATTTTGATGGTCCTGGTCCTTCATAGGGCTAGCAAATAAGCATTTATTTAAGTCGGTTTGTTTACTGTCATGCAGACAAACTGTCACTTTGCAACACTTTGCAACGTTGAACGTGAGAATACCGTCTTGGACATCTCTGAATGGTGCAAAGGCGACTTTCAATGGCAAGAATCTGGAATTAGCACCTCCAGGTATGCCCATCAGCATGGAAGAAACAGAATAAAATTGAACAGATTTACTCAAATGCAGTTGCCTGATATTTTGTTTTCTTGTGAGTCAATTTTTACCGAACATCACATGTATACTGTCCACAAACAGTTTGATGAACTTGAGAATACCAAACATGGACGATTGTTCTGACAAAAATCTTAATTTCTACCAGGGACTTTCCTCACTATCAGCAAGCAGTGGAGTAGTGGTGATCAGTTGTCACTCCAATTACCTATCCACCTAAGGACTGAAGCAATAAAAGGTCTAAAATTTCGAGTTCTGTTGATGATCAAATTACAAGTATTTTTCCCCATAAATATTTTTGTGTAAATTAAATTTTGTAATAATGAAGCACCCATTCTACGATAATTACTTAATTTTTTTCACTCTTAACCATTGGAATCCTGACAATTGACAACACTGAATTGAAGTTTATTATAACTATGAAGAATAAGACTGAGTAGTGTAACTGAAACCTTCAGATGATCGGCCGGAGGACGCATCTATACAAGCAGTCCTGCTCGGGCCGTTCCTCCTCGCCGGCCTCACTACCGGAGATTGGGACGCCAAGACCGGCGCCGCCACCGCCGCGGCCTCCGACTGGATCACCCCCGTCCCTCCGGAGTCCAACTCCCAGCTGGTGACGCTCGCGCAAGAGTCCGGCGGCAAGGCTTTCGTCCTCTCTGCCGTGCACGGCTCCCTGACGATGCAGAAGCGGCCCAAAGACAGCCGCGACACCGACGCCGCCGTCCACGCGACGTTCAGACTCGTCCCGCAGGGAGGCACCGGCGGCGGCGCCGCCGCGAACTCGACGGCCGCCTCGATGCTCGAGCCGTTGGACATGCCAGGGATGTTCGTCACGGACAAGCTCACGGTGTCCGCGGAGAAGAGCTCGGGCGCTCCCTTCAACGTCGTGCCGGGACTCGCCGGCGCGCCCGGCTCGGTGTTCCTGGAGCTCGGGTCCAGGCCGGGGTGCTTCTTGGACGCCGGCGGCGGCGGCCGCGGGAAGGTCCAGGTGGGCTGTATGCCTGTATCGGTGGTGTCCAGAAGCACCGCGACGACGGCGACTGGTTCCGGCGGGCAGCGAGCTTCGCGCGGGCCGAGCCGCTGCGGCGGTACGGGGGGGGGGGGGGGGCGGGGGGTTCGAGGTTGAGCTTCCTGCTGGAGCCATTGTTCACCTTGATGAGGGACGAGTTCTACACCGTCTACTTCAACCTTGTAGCATGAGCTGAGATGTTGCTGCCTGTAATAAACCTCAAAAAGATGTTACAAGGTTTATTACTCATAATGCAGAAGCCACCACGTCTGATGCCCAATTCCACTTTACCATGCGCTCACTTGTTTCAAATCGGGCGAACGGTGGGTCCAGCTCGTTCCGTGGCCGGTGGATGTGGTCAGTGACATGTGATTGGGGATGTTTTTTTTTTTCGTTTTCCGTTTTTTTTCTCTACCAGGTTGGTGCAACCGAATTTTTATCTCCGTCCCTGTCCGAATTTTTCATATTCTTTTCATTTTTTATATTTTTATCCTTCTTTTATATATTTTTAAATTTTTTAGCTAACCTAAGTATACAAGCTGTATAGAATAACTTATGTACACAAGTTGTGTTTGATAAGTTTTATAAATAAGTTGTGTTCCATGTCTTATGTGTTTCCAAGTTTTGGTATAAGTTATAAATTAATTTGTTCCTTTGTGTTTAATAACTTATGTGTTTTTAGTATTCTTTTCATTTTATATTTTTAATCCTTTTTATATATTTTTTCTTTAAATTTTTTTTTGACAGCATTGATAAGTTGTATAGATAACTTATATACACAAGTTGTATAAAATAACTTATCTACACAAGTTGTATAGAATATTTTTTTTTTGTATATAAAGTTGTGTTTTATAAATTTTGTGTTTTCAAGTTTTGGTATAAGCCATAAGTTAATTAGTTCCTTTATGTTTAATAGCTTTTGTGTTTCCAAGTTTTGACATAAGTTATAAGTTAATTCGTTCATTTATGTTTAATAATTTTTATACATAAGTTAATTAATTATAAGTTATGCGTATAACTTTATGTATTAAGTTATACGTATAAGTTATGTGCATTACTTTATCGTACTAAGTTATATGTATAAATGATGCGTGTGACAAATGGAAACTGAGTGTGCAGCCGAGCGCGCGAAAATGAAAGAGAAACATACATGCGAGGTTGGCTGAAAAACAAAACCCGCGGAAATTATTTTTTTCCTAAAAAGGATAGTCCTAGGAGCTGTCAGAGGATCGTCGCTCGTTTCAAATATGGTGAGCGCTCGTCAATTAGTGAGGCTGCGTCGATGCCATGTTATTATTACTAATGATGATGCAAGTATCTTTAGAAGTGCAGTAGATGAAATTAACATAGCTTAGAAAGTGAAAATATCATATCTCATAATAATATCAAAATATTTGAGTCGACCCATATTACCCATTCCATAAAGCTCTAGACGAAATGGGTCAACCCATGACCGCCTTGGGGCCATAGGGCCGGGTCGACCCATTCCCGTCGATAGATGAGAGCAAATGCTCTGAAGGTCAGAACGTGCCAGGAAATTTTCAGGGGATAATATAAGATGACTGCATAAATTTATGTGAAGCTCCTAGCAGATGTTCCCACTTTAAATGTGCTGGTAGGACAATGGTAACGACAATTGGTGAATGCGAACTTTAGCACCATGTTAGTATGCTACCGTGCGAATCATTGCCAATGTAGTCTGTCTATAGGATGCCAATTTGTAAATAAAAATGATCACTTGCTTATATTTCCATCATTTATTTTTTGAAGAATCGAATGTTTGTTTGACGCTGCTGTCTGGTCTCGGGTCCTCAGGGTGGTTGATTCCGACTTTCTGAGCTTGAAGCCCCACACTCAGCAGTGAGCTTGAAGCAGTGGTAAATTGGGCCAAATGACGGGAAAACAGGGCAAGCTCTGAACATTTCTCGGCCGGTGAGATCCATTCTAGCCCAACATAGAGCCATGACTGTTCCAACTACTCGAAAGAGAAACTTAGCGCTTCCGTGAGATTTCAGCGATGCAACAGGGATAATATATGTTTTTTAAGAAAAGATGTCCCCTTCTTTTATTATATTTCAAAAAGCAAATCCGGTTCACAGCATAGGTTTGGCTTAGAGCCAGCAAATTCAGGCCTTATGGCCAGACTGAGACATGACAAACTGACTTTCAACATTACAACTCAAGGACACAACAGCTTCATGCTGAACCAAAGGAACACTTGTATCCAAAAGCTGAGCAGCCGATGGCGCCAACCCTGATGATGATATCACTGTATCCGTCTTCCATTGTAGTTGAGGCAGAGAGTTTGCGTGGATCTCCAAACGTCTTGCGAAGTCCTCCACTTGAGTTCTCATCTCCTGCTTGAACAGCGGGATCCATCGCCGCAACATTCTAACAATCTTCAACAACAGTTTCAACATACCTGTCCACCTTGCACCCTGAAAGAAAATTTCATTCCATAATTTCCAAATCGACCACAAGACCGACGAAGAAACCGTATTCGTTAACATATGTCTCTTATGAGCAAGCCAAAAATGTGCCACAGATTCAAAATCACTCCCTAAAACAAAACCCAGCAGCTCAGAGACTACTTTCCAAGTGTTGCTAGCAATACAACAATCAAAGAAAAGATGAGATATAGATTCATGCTCCACACAAAAGATACAAGAGGGGTCACTAATCCATTTGCAACAGGAATAGCATTTTATGATCAATAATACATGCTGGCAGTTTTTTTGCTCTGGAGCCGATGAACGGAGCAGCTGATGCACCAGAAACTTTGCTTACAGGTTAACAAGCGACGCGTAGTTGCGTAGTAGTAAATCGAGCTCAGCAGCTGACGGACGAACGCCACAGCCAGTCAGCCACCTTACATCACTCAGCCGCAGTTTCTTCCACGCCGTCAGCGGCGGCGGGAACCGGCAGCGGGTCGAGCCTGGCCTTGACGGTGCAGACGAGCGGGCGCTTCCGCGGGAGCGTGAGCCCTGGCCCCTCCTCCATGTCCACGGGCGCGCCACCCACGGGCGCCCACTCGAAGCACTGCAGCATGGCAGCCAGCGCCGCCTGCACCACGAGCATGGCCAGCGACGCGCCGGGGCATATCCGGCGCCCGGACCCGAACGGCAGCAGGTGGAAGTGCTGCCCGCGCACGTCCAGCCCCGCGCTCTCTCCTCCCCCTTGCTCCTCCTCCAAGAACCGCTCCGGCCGGAACACCAGCGGGTCCGGCGCCCAGCACGCCGGGTCGCGCCCGATCGCCCACACGTTCACGAACACCGTCGCGCCGGCCGGCACGTCGTAGCCGGACACCTTGCAGGGCTCCATGGACCGGCGCACCACCATCGGGCCCGTCGGGTGCAGCCGCAGCGTCTCCTTGGCGATCGCCTGCAGGTAGGGGAGCCGCGGGATGTCCGACTCGTCGGCCAGCCGGGACGCGCCCACCACGGCGTCCAGCTCAGCCTGCGCCCGCCGGAGGACGGCCGGGTTGTTGATCAGCTCCGACAGCGCCCATTCCAATGTGATCGTCGTCGTGTCCGTGCCGGCCGCGAAGATGTCCTGCAAGATTTTATATATATGATATGATCCCCCGGCAAACAATTTCATCACCGAGTCAAACACTCAAACGGTGCAGAGATTTTATGAAATCGTAGCCGCCATTATTAGAATACTAAAAGGAAATATTTTTGTTTGTTCGTCGCTTAACCCGATGCTTGATTAGATCTGCTCAACAATCTAGAAAAACAACGATGGACGTACCAGCATGAAGGCCTTGATGTTATCTCTGGTGAGCTGAATCTCGGCGGCTTCGTCCTCGTGCATGTCAAAGAGCATGTCAAGCAGGTCCTTTTTGTCCCCCTCGCCGGCGCCGTCCGCCGCCTCCTTCCGCCGCCGCTGCCTCTCGGCATCCCTCGCCGTCAGTATCCGCTCCATCATGGCGTCGAACTTGCGGTGCACCGCGTCGATGCGCTTGCCCAGGCCCTGCACGTCCCAATGCTTGAACACGCCGATGTAGTCCTGCAGGTTGAACATGCCCGTGATCTCGGCGGTCTCGGCGACAACGCTCCTCATCTCCTCGGTGGCGCTGTCGTCGCCGGTCCACCGCCGGCTCATGACCATCCGCGAGATGACGTCGCCCGTGACGCCCATGAGCACTGCGTCCACGTCGACGGCCGCGCCGTCGGCCGCGCTGCGGGACAGGGAGCCCACGAGGCGGGACACCTCCTCGCGGCGGACGTGGCGGAGCCGGTCCAGCGTGCGGCCGGCCAGGAGCTCGTGCACGCATGCGCGCTTCATGAAGCGCCAGTAGGGCCCGTAGGGCGAGAAGGAGAAGTCCTGCCCGCCGTAAGTCAGGCGGTGCACCGCCGTGAGCTTGGGGCGGTCCAGGAACGCCGCCTCGTGGGCCTTGAGCACTTCGCGGGCGGCGTCCGGGGAGCAGGCGGCGATGGCCGGCACGGAGCCGAGGCGGAGGTACAGGAGCGGGCCGTGGCGGGCCGCCAGCCGGTGCAGCGCCTGGTGCGGGAGCGGGCCAGGAGGTGGAGGTGGCCCAGGACGGGCAGCGCGAACGGGCTCGGAGGAGGCGAAGCCCGCCGCTGCCGCTGCCGCGGCGGCGCAGCACGTAGAGAACGGTGAGGCCGGCAACGAGGAGGAGAATGGGGAGGGCTGTGGGGTTGGTGATGAGCTCTCGTGCCGTGGCCACTTCCATGGTGACTTCCTCTGCCTGCCAAGAGCTGAATAGTGAGCTCTAGCTGCTGCTTCTCTTGCTTATCAGATCACTCTACTCCCTGGTTTATATATACTCCTATATGCTAATGTTACTTAGATACCTGTGGATATATAATAATGTGAAGTTTTATTACTAATTCAATGTGTTATAGACAATTGGTTGCATGTTGGCAGCAGATGCCTTGACCTGCACCCCCAGAACCAACAAGCACACAGGGCAGATGCCTTGCATGTGGGACCAATTTCGATGAAGATTTGAATATATGGGAGATCTCAATGGATCCAAATAACTGAAGTCTAAACTAAATTCTAAGATATCCTGATAGTTGTCAAATTCATGATCCTATCATATGGTTTTACATCACACATGACCTAATAATCATATATAGTGGAAAGATTCAACGGAGAGTGATAGACGATACTAATACTACTACTAGTATACAATAATGCAATCACTTTTACTAATAGGCAGCAACTTGCGAGGCATCTGTCTTTACATACATGGATTAAAGCTTTGCGTTAACATTTTGACCGGGTAATATAATGCAAACACTTCTGCTCCGGCACCGGCACGCATCATCATCGTCTTGTTTTATAGCGGAGGCCGGCTGCGAAGGCCGGCAGGTGTAAAATGTAAAATTACAAGTGCAGGCCCGCAGGCCGGTTTGTATGAATGGACCTTAGCAGCTAGCCTCCTCAAACATGCAATGTTGGAGCGTTCCATGTAGACCTGGTCAAGGATCAAGATTCAAATCCAATCAAAGCTATCCAAGTTGAGCCTAACTGAGAGCGTCTCCAAGAGACTAGTTAAAATTAGATCTGCTGTTGAGCCTATTTTCTTCCTCAAAAACTCTAAACATGGTCTCCATGAGAAGAATAGCCACTCTCTATGCTCTAAGAGCAACTCCAGCATCACCCCTGACCCCTACTTCCAATTTGGGTAGCGGAGGTAAAAAAACCAACTTCAGCAGACTCTCAAGATTTGTTGGCCTCCTATTTCCCCCCTCCCACTACCTATTCCTACTGGACCCCTA